CATGATCTGTTTGACTTTATTGTTATACGTATCAGCATTATAGACTAAAGTAAGCAGTTAGTGAATGAATAAAACTTAACCTTATAACCTAATAAAATTCCATAGTCTTGTCATTTAAATTATAAGTAGTTGTTACAACATAAAATCTTTTGCAAACCTGCATCTACTCAAAGTGTCATACACTTCACAACAATGTATGGAGAGAGTACTATAAATTATGCGGATTTTCAGCTCAGGTAGATGCTTTCTATTGCAATGAGTTCTCTGGGCTCTGAAACTTATTTACAATGACTTCACTGGAGTTCAGGATACCATCATTAGCACTTCATATAGAAATAAGGAATTTAATTATTCCACAAGTTCGGAATCAACCTTTTGTAATGATCTTTTCTGTAAATAGCTATCGTCAAATGTCTTACTCACTTCGTTTGTTTTAAGATTCTTGTTGACTGCTTTGTTCAGCTGACCTCTAGTCAAGTCATTGGTTGATACTTTGCACGTCTATCATTAAATAGCATTTATATTGACGTGTCTATTAACTAGAAATTCACCTAAATACCAAGTTTCCAGAAATTTACTGGAACTTTCCGAACCTTCGAGATCCAGAATTTTGGAATTTCAGTGATCGAATTTGTATTCATAAGATTAATTAATATAATTAATAACAGGAAGTGTCATTTTACTGCTAATTGATGTTCGTGTATTGATACCATTGGAAATGAACTCATCGATAGACGAGAGGAGGAGCAAATTAAATAAAGCGTTGACAAATAATAAACATAACGAACAAGCGTAACCGCTTTAACGTGGTTGATTTTTAGTCATTTACCTAAAATTACTTCACTGTTAATTTCTAATAATTCAGGATATTAGATGTCTTGATTTCATCATCAACTATTTAACACCATAGGAGGAAACAAAGCCCAACAACAAAATTTTTTCACAAGACATATAATGTAACCTACCAACACGATTAAAACTAGTAGTCAATGACTGCATAGACTAATGCCACGTTTTGATTTACCCACCCCTTGCTTTTTTCTAACCTGCTCCTGTAGCATTGAACATCACACGTTGAAGTAGCTAGTGGTTGGACGTGCTTGATACATGTCTCAACCAACCTAGCCGATGAGAAATCACTACCTCATCAACCGACTTGTCATTTTTGCCTGTCATCTTATACCTGACTTCAACATTTCTCACTCACTGGTCCTAGTGTACTCAAACAAAGCTTCGAAGACACCTGTGATCGAGTACTAGTAACCTACGAACATCCTTTTTTTAAAAGGTCAAGCTTAACTGACATAATGTAGAATAGAACAAACTGCTGCTCAGAATACTTATCCTTCGGCTGACCGAGAGATATCTCACGTACTTAATAATTAATAAGTTACCAAGCGGGCTGAAATATTGAATGTCTGAGCAATCATTATTCGTGACGTTCTTTATTTTAAATGTTTGTTATTCATTGAATTATTTTGAAACGTTATTCATGAAAAAAATACCAGTAATCAAACAGCCAAATGATCACCTATCAAAACAAAAGACAGTACATACTTTATGAAAGACTGATTATAAAGTTTATCTTATTAGGTAGTTTGTGTAAATTTGATGAATTCAATGGTATTTATCATCAAGATTGATTGAGAATCTTGGAAGACCACTCAATAAAGAAATGTTTCACCCTACTCTTGGACTTTTTTGTAACGTAAACCCATACATCCATATAAGGTAAACTCAGGGTTTGGTTAACTGCATGAGTCATAGCTTCTCAAAAGAAACTTTTTGAGAAATTCTTCTCAATCTCAAGTACTCTTTGAAATATACTATCCTCAATTTGCTACATGTCTTATAGAGTTTAGTTTCATCATGATTCTGCATAGAGTCAAGGAGATGGACTGCTTGAATGCAAAAGCTACCCATCACTTCTTGATCATCAATAATCCTATGTATAAGGATAGATAGTTTAAATTTCAACTGAAATCTCCATTGAAATTCAAACTTCAACTACACTGTCCCAATCAAGAGAAAATGAGAATGCAGTCAATCATTGATTGGTTTGTTATCCATTTGACTACGTTGTTCAGATGCACTTTATTAGCTTGTCTATATGATTTAAAACAAACGAACAAAAACAACATTCTTTTATCTTTTGTTTAAAATTTAACTATTTATGTACTTATTTTATTTACATATTGAACTAATCAATGATTATTTCCCTAGATATGAAATTTTAATGATTATTTTCTTTTTATGCACAGTGATTTTTTAATGTGATAATTATCTATTTTAATGCTTTATGTTAATTAGCATAAGAGAATATTTATAAATTGATAGAACACAATTAGATATAGATAGATCAAGACGTTTTATTAGTTAGTTAAAGTCATTGTCTAAATGACATCTAAGTGAATAACGCGATGGCACTTGAAGCAAATGGTATTGGGTTCGAGTCCCGAGTCCTGGAATGAACATCAACTCTGGGATGCAGGTACATCCAACTGACGAATCCCAAATAGGACGAAACGCGCATCAAACTGAGTTCCACTGCTAACCACTATCCATCATTGCTTAAAAATTTCGTGATTTAAGGCTATATTAAGGCAATCCGCGCAGGATACACATATGCCAACAAGAGACTAATCAATTGCAGTCCCAAATAACAATAGGAAGATACAAGTAAATAACACCAAGTGAATTTAGAAGCTATCGAAGTTTGAGCATAGTCCACTCCATGTGTCGTTTCGATAAATATTTCTCTCCAATCGACTATTTGCATTACGCTTCATACCAAGGTCTAAAAAATGAAGCACATTGTCACGTTCATATTCCACTGTAAACCTAATATTTGCGTGTGCCACACTGAAGATTTTCAGTATATGAGAAGCATGCTGATAATCATTACAGTCCACAAAATGTGTCATCAACATACTTAACGTACAACGATGTATCGTTGATTACTGATTTCGCTACTATCTGTTCTGGGTTTCTCATAAAGAAATCTGCCAGGATCAGACCAAGTAGGCTACCGATAGCCGATTCATCAATCTGACGATATAAGAGGTTATTAAACGGAAATCGAATATCATTGATACACATTGGCAGAAGCTATTCAAATTCATCCTCTTGTAGAACGAGTAGGTCAGCGTGTTGATATATTATTTGCATAGTTTATTCCAATGGGTTAATGGCAAATAATGATGATGCACCAAAAGAAATCATGAATTTATCAGAAAGGTCCACTTTTTTCTAGAAGTTGAGTGAATTGAAAGGTGTCTTTTGATCCGTGAACAGATAGCTTTGAACAGATTGGTTCTAATTTACTGACCAAACAACGAGCAAAAGTGTGAAATTGAGAATTAATCATTGATTATAATGGTCTAACAGGAACATCAGATTCATTTTTTAGTATTCCATACAAATCAGGTAACCCGGATCCTCCAGGTTTCAACTGATTACATATGATATTATCACTCAGTTTCCTTTTTAGAAGCTTTTTTAATTTCTTTGTAACTCGTTGTTCTGCTGCCTCAGTCATATCTTCCTCCGGATGATCAATAATCAATCTTATAGAAATATTTAGGATCACATTTACTTGATTCGCACACATCACTATACCACAGCCTCTGTCAGGTCGGAGGATTACAATGTTTTCATTCTGTATCAAAATTGGTAAAGCTTCCTGGTGACCTTTAGATGGGGCTTTTGACTGTGGTATTCGGAATATCTTGTATTGGTTGGTAATTATTTATTACACTACGGAGCTAATTGAAAGCAGTTTATGGTAAATTTCTACCTATTCATGTGTTATCCTAAAGCCTAATGCCAGTTATCATTCATCTTATGAAAACTGTGAACACACGTAATTAAGTAGTTACATTTTCCACAGTTGCAAAAAAACAAGTTACACAGAGATATCTTTTCAATTCCTGAATTGAAAGTATTTACATTCATTCCAGTATCTCAGAATGAATTTACAACATGCATCTAACATAAGCCTTTTGATTGCTAGAAAATATCATAATAATATTGAAAATCAAGTATCGTTGGACCACTGTCTGTTACGTATATTACAAAACTTTCCATAAGCATCCATTCAAAGGATAGACATAATTCATTCATTTGGCCAGTCGTAATCAAAGAAGCACCTATCGCAAAAACAAACAAGTTCAAGTTACCAACTAAACTATTGTGACTTAGTAAATATTGTGAATGAACTTTCTGAACTATTTTACGGACTATCATTATTTGCATTTTCATTATATAATTATTTAATAACTGTATTTTTGTATTTTTATATCGTCCATATTATAGGCGTTCATTGAACCGATTAACTATTTCTGTACGTTTTACTATTCCTTAATTATGGCTAATTAGTTATCTACCTTTTTGCTCTATTCTCTTTTATTTTTGAAGTAGTTACGCGTATATTATAATTACATGTTCATGTAGATTTGAAATCAGGAAATAAATCTATATTACTTTTTGAACCGATCCACATAAAATACACTCCTGCGCTTCTTTCTGCCTTCTATTACAGAACCAAAGACTAGGCTGGAACCAAGACAACCGTTCTAGACTAATAAAAGTTAAGATTATTATCAAACTCAACTCAAGCTTAACCTCGTCAATCGGAGAGTATAAATAGTCAAAGCTTAGGATACAAGGTGATAGCCGAAATAGTGTACGTGGGTTAGAGAAATGTTACAGGATTCTAAATTAGCGAATCACTTCTCAAAATATTGACTGACATCTCACTCATAACACTAACATTTTTACAACAAGAGAGGAATCGGTTTGAACTAAATCTAAATATGAGATATACACTTAAAACAAAGAAGACTACTGTCCGAAATGTCCGAAAAAAAATTAGACGGAAACAGAGGGTGAACACAACTTTTACACATTTGGATCTGATTTCATAGGTTGACAATGTCAAAAAAACAGATTACCAGATAGGAATAATAGAAATTTTATTAAACTTCAAAAACCAAACTTACCCAAATTGAAAACTGAAGTAAAAAGATTGTAAGCTCCTGAAGTGAATTTAACACGTTGATTTGATTTGTGTTCTTCATTATTTTTATCAATCTGTTTTTTTAAGAAAGAAAAAGCCAGGTGAATAAAACAAACATTAAAATCTGTAACTTTGAAGACAAAAGTTTGTTTATATGGGTCGTATTGGTCACACATTGATCGTAAGTACGGTAGCATTGAAAACTAGAAGGCACGTAAAAGTTTCTTCATTCTACCATGGGACTCTCTAGGATTACCCATCCCTAACCCTGAAGTCAGGAATCGAACTAAAGACCTTCTGTCTGACACGTAAACGATTAACCTCAAGACCTCTGAGCCAACAACCAATAATGTACATATCTAACTTCAGTCAATATTGCGCGATCATCCTCCATAACCTGCTGTGGATAAATTTATCAAACCCGACACGGATTGAACTCTCCTGGTTAAAGCTTCTAACCAGAACTCCAGGAACTACATCATAGACAGTTATTCACAGATGACAAAAGATGATGATCACTCAATATCAAGAACTGATTGAAGTTAGATATGTATACCACTGGATGCCTGCTCAGTGGTCTTAAGGTTAAGCGTTCTTGTTTGGGACCAAAAGTCCTGAATTGGATTCCTGGCTTCGGGGTTGTGGATATGCATTGCTGAGGTGTCCCATACTATGACGAAATGGCTGTTGAATGCTTCCAGGTGTTTGATGGTGGTTTGACTGAGGTCACTCCGTGACATATAACCTATGAAGATTGTACAGTCTTCACAAATCCCCCATGCTAATAATAATAAAATAATACTAGTCGGGTAGTAGTGCTACTCAGAAATGCTATCATTCCGCAAGTGATTGCAAAAATAATGTCAAATAAACAACTCAGTGACTGAAAGAAGGAGTATTTACTCAATTTCAGTAATCATTTGTAAAAACTGAAAATATGTAGATCAACAGTTGTCAGATTACATAATACATAATAATTAACAAAATACTTTGATGGAAAGTAAATCTAATGAGAGTTGAAAAAAATGGAGACAGACATTAGGATGATGTATGGGCACAAAAGTGGCAGAAACGTGGAAAGCCAGTGAAAGTGGATTTACTCACTTTTGTTTGATCTCAGTCAATAGTCAAATCTGAGATAGGTAACCTAAAAACTTCTCTTGGTTACATAAGTCAGGTTTCTGGATGAGAACAGAGATAGCTTCTGAGGTGTGCAAAAGACTATTGTATAAAACATGGGGCAAATTTGATGAAAATCTGTGGATAACTTTGGAAGCCTCATTAAAATCCATTTGATGTTCTGTCTTAACCAAGTGAATGAGAATAGATCTCTCAATAAACTTTAACTGTCCTCAACTAACTCTACAGGGACAGTCAAACTGTCAAAAGTATATCGATGTGACGAATTCATGCAGTCTGTCTTTGTTGGTGGTACTTGTCATCCAACGATTGTAAAAAAGGCATACAGCTTGGGTGCTTGGGTGTTTCTTGCACAGCTTCTCTTAGCCTTTATGTTTGCATTCCACTGGTTGTATCGTTTTAAACTGTAACTTTGAGAAAAGTATCTTCTTTGGAGTAATTATTACCATCAGTTTTATTTTTGTCTCATTATTGTGCATGCTAATGAGTTTAATGGGATATCCATTCTTACTAAGAAGATTTTTTTTCACAAGTAATTACTGTAATCTCTATAACATCTTATCTTCTCTCTTTCAATCACTTAGTTATGCATTCGATAAAATTTTCATAATAAATTGTGAAATGATAACATTATTATGTAACACAACCACTTGACTAGTATTGATTTGTCACTATAAATTCAATATATAAGTTGATGTAGAGACATGATGAAAAAGTGATTGAGAAGCTATATTATCGTTATTACTGCTGAAGTGTTCTTTTCTTAATAATATAACTACAAAATAAATAAATACCTTCATTTCCACATACACAGACGATAATCAATGTGAATATTGGAATTCATTTTAATGAAACTTTAATGGTTTATTTCTTATTTGTATATACATTAATCTGAGCAAACAATAATGACTTACATTGATGGATCGATTATCAGATAAATGAGACAAACATGATTTGCGAGAAAATAACATCAGTGTTGAAACATAAGTGCTATTCTCTAACTAATTTGACAATTTTATTGAGATCACGACCAATCTAAGTTAGATAACTATCAGAAATCCCGAAGCACCGGGTAGCCATTTAGTCCTAGTACTGAACTTCTCATGATTGCATATTCACCACCCGAGGCCGAGAATCGAATCCAGGAACTTTGGTGTCCCATGCAAACACGTCAAGATCATTGGGCGAGATCTACTGGTGTGGTAGTTTAACTTTAATTTATTCATGATACTGGGACACCATCTGCCAATATTATGAGTGGGTAACGACTTCTCACTCGATATGATTGACTTTTGTACTGGTAACTAATTTTGAATGGTAGTTTTTGAAGTCCTAGCGAAAAACTGTGACCAACAGCGAGATTAAATAATAGTTGTGTAACATCACAGATTAATCGGAATTAAAATTTGAAATTAATAGATTCTGATTCCGTAGCCTAGATGCTAGGCGTTTGTCGCGAGACCTAAAGGATTCAGGTTTGACCGTTTATGGGGTAGTGAATGTTTACTACTCAAGCGTCCCACATAATAGGACGAATTAGTAGTCTAGTGCTTTCAGAGGTTTATTGGTTTTCAAACTACAGTTAGTTTTTAATGTAGATTATAATACATAACACTGGTTACTGCTAAGTTTGTAGTGTACAGTATTGTGTACCTACCTTAGGTTCCAGAATACCTTTCGTATTTTTATCATCTAATGACAAATGAGCAATATAGTCTTCATCAATATAAATCTCATTGATTGGATGAACCGGATTTTGTATTGCTGTTAATGTTGTTGTTGTTGTTGTTGTTGCTGCTGCTGTTGGTACTACTGATAACTGTTGTGATGGTGTATTATAAATACTCAATGTACATTCTGGCTCTTCCAAAGAGTTTTCAGTTGCAATCGATCTCATTGGCTGTGCTATAGTTTCAACATCTTCGTTTAAACTACCAGGATCAATCCAACAATTATTATTGTTATCGGTAAACTCATATTCATATTGCATTAAAGAATTCAGTTTATTTATTGTTGACCTGAAATCTAACTCCAAGGAATTATCTAGTGAATTATTCACTGAATGTTCACTATCTCGACTAGGTGCTAGTGAAGATAAACTGTTGTCAAACTTAAGTTCAATATTATCTGAAATATCACTAGATAATACTATATTTGTTTTATCGGTAAATGTAGGAGATATAATTAAATCATGTGGTACGGTGTCATCATTAGGAGCAACACTTGGAGTAGTAGTAGTAGTAGCATCACTAGCCATATAATCGTTATCGTTGTCAGCATTTCTTTCAAGTAATCTAGATAATGAAGAGTTTTCAATTCCTAGTGAATCAACCGCTTTTGAAGGCGAATTGATGCCATACATCGGACCATAGTCCTCTTCTTTATAGGCTGTGATCAATAAACTTGTACATGCATGATTATCCTCAATAAATTCATCTTTATATGTCACATCTAACTGACTAGTAAACTCGGATCGAGTGTCAGTATTGAATGTATTATTATTATGAATAGGTTGAATTAATTTCTTTACATCGATTAAGCAATATTCACTTAGAGGCTCGATAACACTGAGACTCGTTCCGTCCGAACAATATTTGTTTACATTTGAAGATAACGATGCAGCGGTAGTATTCATAAACGACTGCTCACTATTAGTTCTCTGGTCATGTGGATACTGCAAATGGTTAATTTTGGTCCAAAGTAAATCTTCCTCAGTTGCTTGTAGTAATCCAGTTAAGAAAGAGTCATCAAATCCTAGTAAGTTAACAGTTTTCTCAGACAAGTCGATGCTACGTGGTTGATGACAGTCCTCTTCATGATGAGATGCAATCAATGGGACTGTACATGTATGTTTATTTTCGATAAATACATCCTTGGATGTTAAATCTAACTGATTAGTAGATTTTGTATCCTTTTCGAGCAGACTAATCAACCGTCCAGCATTATCTCTAGTTTCCTTATGAATCATACTGACAGATTTTTTGAATATTGAACCGTCTGTATTATCTGGTATTGATACTTTCAAAACGTTAAACTGTTTTACTGAATCAATGGGAAATAATGAAGAGTGTCCTGTGAAAGTATCATTTCCAAGATTATCATTTACATTTGATAATGAACTTGAATTTGTAGTAGATTGGTTTGGGGATTGAGCAACGGTAGTACCCGTAGTTGTAATAGGTTCTATTGCCATGGGATTATCAGACGACGTCAATGTATTTGGATAAGATTCGTTATCATTATAATCTGGAGTGTCTTCAATAGTTTGTTCTAACTCGTGGAATTCACCTGACTTTTTCGGTGGAACAAAATCATTACTAGTAGTTTGTAAGCTGTCATTATGTCTTTTGTTGCTGGGTGCAGTGATGTTCTCAAGATCTCCATGGTGAAACTGTTTTTCTAAAGGTACGTCAAAAAATGGTTTTTTGAAATGATTCTTATTTTCATGATCCATCTTCAGTCTAGAATAGTTATTTGTATTTGAAGATGACAACAGACTCGATGTATTCTTCTCTTCGAGTGGATAGTCAGTAATTGTGTAATCACTCAGCAATTTATTTAGTATGGTTAATAATTTCATTTCTGAAGTTAAACTGTCGTCATTTAATATGATATTGTTAATTAAACAATTTACAGGCTTATTTTTGATTAATAATGGAACTTGTACGAATGAAGAACTTACTGTGTCCATTATAGTTGGCAAAGTGTTCATGTCCTCTAACGAACACTTTTGCAAAACATCCTTAACTCGAGAGTCAATAGGATCATTCTCTGTTTTAATGACTTTATTGAACTGAGCGTCGATATCCAGTACATTATTATTGAGACTATCAGGGCTAATCGATAATTTTCTTACTGACTGAGTTAGGTTTGTCAAATCGATTGTGGTATTCTCATATAACGGTTCAGTAACGTAGAAATTCGTTCCATCCGTATAATATGTATTAACATTTGAAGATATCGATTCAGTGGTACTAGTCACAAAGGGTTGCTCACTATTAGTCAGTTCATCATGTGGATCTTGTAAATGGTCACCTTTGGTCGAGCTGACATCAATGGAAATATCCTCCTCGTTCAAGGAAAACTTTCTGTTGTGACATTTAGTAGGTGTATTGCATGAAACTTCTACGTTTTCATTATGGGGTTGTAAAATTGTCAACGACTGACTTATTTCGTCTGAAGAAACCTTTTTCTCGGTTGGTAATTTGTTGATTTCAAGATCAGAGGACAGTTTTTTGCTGTCATTTGACATTCCTTTGGTTAGTTGATCAAAATTATATTTCGTTTCCGATGAATCATCTATCCTATTGGTAAGCTCATTTGATAACGCCATCATCCAATTTTGACATGAATTATCCAACAAATAATTGTCATTCAAGGTTCGGGTATTATTCAAATCTGATTTCGAATATAATGGTTTCATATCTCCATGTGATGTTTCCGTAATAGATGAAAAGATTTGTTTCACCTGGGTTGACGGCACTGAGTGATCATTCGCTAATTGGTCACTGATGGACCCGTTAAGTGAACCGACACTCAATCGTTCATCTATGTGTACATCATGTGCATGATCAGGAATAATTAATGGATCCCTCTTTTGTTGGTTGAATAATGTAGAAACTTGGGCGGACGATAATTCTGTGATATCCTCAATAATTCTCGTCGTTGTCAATTGTTCATTGGGCTGCTTTGGCAAACATTTATTTGTAACTTGTAATTGGTTAGTTTGATGGTCAGTAACAACGTTAAGGTATTCAGGGTTTTCCGCATTATTGTCCAGTGACTGAATGAAACTTTTATTTAAATAATGGTTATTTTCAGATGTATCAGTACTCAATGATATTGGCAAGTGAGTTGTACATTCTGACTCCATCAACAACTTTTTTAAAGTTTGTATGTTGTTTATAACGCAGGGATTCATATTTTGTCTAATATTTGAATCAAATGTCGAATTATTCTCACATTCTACACTAATTAATGATAAGTCCTTGGAAGAGTTAACGTTAATGTCTATTTGTGAATTGATCATCATCATTTGATCTGTATTCAACGGAGTTGATTCATTAGAGTAGGGATTTTGTTGTTCTAATGTAGGGAATATCATAATCCCTTTGATATCTTGATTTATTTGAAGGGGATCCACATTCAAACTACCATTATTGTTTATTAAATGAGTGCCGATAGATCGTTTATAATCAATAACTTTCACAGTGGACAAATTATTTTCAGATTTATTATTTATATCATATATTTTTGTAGTAGGGAATATCTGAATTACATCATATGTTGTAGATATTCTATAAGGTAAACTATACTCTGACAACATACTATTATTTTGCAAAATTCGCGAAATTACTGAATTTTGTTGAAAAGTCGAAAGTTGTGTAAAATCTTTAGAGGATGCGTTGTCACTATTATTATTATGTGTTTTCGAAAGATAAATTGACGAAACATAATTTTCTTGAGGAGAATTTTGTTTTGATTTCGAAATACGAGAGTGTAATGATTCATTATCATTTTTACTCTCTTCGAAAGAGGTTGAATTTGAACTAAAAGGCTTCAAATTCAGTGTACAAGACATTTGGCTTTTCACAGGACCATTAAAGTTGTGATTTACATTTTTATTATTATCATTATTACATAATTTTAAAGCTTCACTTGTTCTAAGTTCGTTTATATTACTAACTGAAGGATTTGATAGTTGATCTTTAACGAATTGTTCAGAATTACAGTTTAATAATAAAAATGTATCATCTTGCACACCGGCTTTTTGGTTCAAAGGAATACAAGTTAATCCATGTTCATTTGATATATTAGTTGTAGTATTGGTGTTATTATTATTAGTAGTAGTAGTAGCATCAGTAGGTTGATTTGATTTTTCTAATTTGAATTCTTTACTCCGTTGACCATCTCCTATTTTTAACGATGACCATGGTGATAGTCTTATCTCTGCAAACTTTGATTCATTTGTTGGACTTGTGATTGGTTTCTGTAATCGTATCTCATTTGTTTGATCACTATTATTATAATCATTATTGTCACTATTGGTGTAATAATGGAATACTGGACTCTCTGAACATGATATGAGATGTTGTTGTAGTGAATTAGTACAATCTTCAGTAGCCATTTGACTCATACTCCATAATCCAGAGTCAGAGAAGTCCGCTGATTGAGTCGGTGTGACTTGTAAACATTGTGACTGGTGAAAAATATCATCATTGTTTGTATCTTTGATAGGTTGTTCCTCCACATCTACGTGGATACTTAAACAACTTAGATTAAATTTATCAGTAGTACTGTATGAACATGATGGTTGTTGTTGTTGTTGTTGAATTTCAAGTATGTTCAGATTACTTACACTATCTCCTGAATTTTCAAGTAAACTTTGTCCAACATCATATAAGGTTTTTACAGATTTAGCTAGTTCTAATTGTGATTGTGTTCCAAATTTCTCACTAATAGAATGAGCATCTTTTTTACGTTTGAATTTAAATAGTTTTATAAACTTTTTTGATGGTATACAGATATGATCTAGTTCTTTGAATAGGAAATGTTTTTTAGGTGACAATTTAACCTTTCTTTGATGATGTTTTATTGTATGATTTGATGTAATGACATTACTGTACTCTGAGCCATCATTGATAACACCGGTTGATTTATTAATACGGTTTGATAATTTACAAGACAATATAGATTCATTTAGAAATTCACACGATTTAATTTTCGATTGTTTTTGCGGAATACACATTTGACTTTCTTTACAAATAAGGTCGATTTCAACGTTATGTTTACTACGTTTTTCCAATAAATTTTCATAATGTGATGTTTCTTCAATTTGACATTTAACTCCACTATTATTGTTAATAACGTTTAATTGACTTCCAGATAAAGTTGACCAACAAGGATCTAATCCAAATACTGTATTGTATTGATGCTTTCGTGTAAAACATCTTGAACTAACTCTTCTAATACGATTAAAATTGTTTACATACAAATGTAGATTAGGCGTAATGTCACGAGTTTGTGTAGGTGAATGTTCAAACACAGATGCTGATTGGCTTAGACGTTGTCCAATAGGATATATCGGGTCTAAAACACATTTTATTCCGTTGATTGATTCAATACCACTGAGATCAGACCAGCTAGTTGGAGTCAAGTCACTTTGACCAGTACTAGTTATTCTTACAGCTAATGGTTGTCCACGTAGATCCGTGACAGACATCCATCGACTAATGTAATATTCTGTGGGCGTAAATAGATATCTTGATAAATTATCATTAACTGACGGAATATATCTATCTGAAGTTTAGAAAATCAAAAAACAAAGTCAGAATTCATTGGGTCTGTCAACAAATTTTTTTATTACTAAATTTAAACTTATTGATTTTCAAAGATAGATTTTATTATGTGTTGATATCAGTTGAAAAAACACTGAAAGCTAGGTTGAACTATGTAGATGAATTACACCCGTACCAGATAAATCAGTACTGTGCACACACCACACCAAATGTGATCGATCCTCTGGGCTTTCAGGCTATCTAACGAGTACAGAAATACTTAGCTTCTGAGTTATCATGTAACGATGCATAGTTTGCACATTCAGCATTTCTTGATATAACTAAACAAATATACAATATCATCGAGTGTAGAACAATCGCACTCATTAAGTATTTGAACTTCATCGGTCACAATACTAGTTTGTTGCTTCTATTATACATACACAACCATACATTTCAAAGTACCTTATTAAGTAACAAAATATCACTCGCTTATTTAGTTTAAATTTTTCTGTAAATGTAGTCAACAATGGTGAAGTCAGATAGGGTACGTCATCTATTTAGCAGTATTTTTAAATTACTTTTGAAGTATAACGATAGCTCAGCTTAGCACTAAGTACAAACAGCTAGTCTATGCTCGAAGGTCAGAATATGTACGGAAAACGGCAGTTTTTTATTATTACTTACTATCTGGAGATTATAGTACCTTCCGAAAAAACATGCTAAAACCAACAGTTAGTAATTTTAGATACTCGTTAGAGATTTTAAAAATTCCAGAATGATCCAAGTATTCTTTAGAGATTTTCTAGCTTCTGATGAATTTATGAAAAATTATCGAAAGGCTCCCGACAAAGTTCACCATAAACTCATTTTTAAATATTGAGCCACATGTTCAAACTCTAATGGAGATTTCGACACTGTTATCCCTCACATGAAGTACCGTGATCTAAAAGAGAATACTAGCCTAAAGTACTTGGCTGATGATTTATATTCAGCAAAATTTTGAAAGCTTACTTCTCAATCGATAATAATAGAATACTTAACATCAATGTTAATAACTCAGTCAAACTTAAGTCTTATCATTGTCCGAAATGTTCAGTAATACCCCTTCGGTTATACAGAATAGAGAAACCTGGTTGGTAAAGCCGATTGACTTATCTGGATTTACTCATGACATCGCCATCAAAGTGTGACAGCTGTTTTTGTGGAATTTTTTATTAAGTATGTGCTACATGCTTGCCCAAAATAAATAACCTGGGGACTCATAGGTCCCATGGCATACACACTGGTATAAGTGCTATCATAGAGAAGGGAGACTCCTCCTCCATTTTCGCACTAATGTAGGTAAAATTGTACGATAAAATTCTGTCAGCATACTACCCGGTAATAGGTCAGTGTAGAATGCTAAATCAACAAGTGAAATCAAGTCACAAGCTATATCTTTGCTACATTTCATTTTCATTAAATTAACTGCATTCTGTTGAAAAAGACAATCATATCAATACTAATCAATGGAATAATTACTGTGGCGAGATATCCGTCTATCAACCAAAGGATGTGTTTACTACGCAGCAGTTCGTTCCGTCCTACTTTATGGCAGTGAAACATGGCCGGTAAGAGTAGAGGATATTCGTAGGTTACTAGTATTCGATTATAGGTGTCTTCGAAACATTGCTCGTATATCATGGGACCATCGAGTAAATAATGCAGTTGTTAGGTAACGTGTACTAGATAAGGATGACAAATCAATTGATGAAGTAGTGAAACTTCATCAGTTGAGATGGCTGGGACATGTGTTACGTATGCCCAACCACCGACTACCTCGACGTGCGATGTTCAGTGGTATAGGAGTAGGTTGGAAGAAAGCTAGGGGCGGCCAGACCAAAACATGGCACAAGTACATGAAGTCACTGACAAGTAGACTGAGTCATGTTGGTAGGTGTAGACTACCTGGTTGGGGACCGCGAGATGACAACAACCGATTGTTAGAGACCCTGAATGACATGGCTCAAAATCGTTTGCAATGGCGCAGGTGCGTCCACATTTTGTGTTCTCTCAAATTCTAATCTTCTGAATTCTTCATGTCCCTTTTTTCCTCTTTCCAAATTTATTTCACTGTATTATACTCTTTAAATAACATCTCCAAACCCTAATCTTCCCGATTACTGCTTATACTCTTATTACCTCTACCACTACGGGATTTGAATCGACAACTGCATCTCTGTGCTAATGTGGTGTGACAACTCGAACTGATGTACGTACGTACGAAGTTCTACGTTGTTACTGACTGACTGACTGATTTCTAAGTCATGACATTTTGTCTAGTAAGTACCATCAAAATAAACTAGGCCTTTCTATATTATATATATATATACGACCCAGAAGAAGAATACTATTTTGGTCAATGATAATTAAACTTCTTCAAAAGTTAATTATAGTCTGTTCAAAATGTAATAAGTGTAAATATCCGTTGAAATTAAACTATTTAAGTCAGTGAATTACATATGGAATCTTCGTTTTATTGATGATGATGAAGAAGAAGAAGAAAAAGAAGAAGAAAGAGACGAATGATGATTATGATGACATTTTAAAAGAAGTTAAAATTACAACAGAACTGAAATTAATGTTCATTTAGTTACACAAAAATCATCCTCTGAAATTATTTCATTGGTTATAATAATAAACATCTGTTTAAGTAATAAGAAACAATCGGTATGTTTTCATCTTGTTAAAGTTGATTTTCGAAGAAACATTTCGACATTCATTAACTGCATAATTCATCACTGTCTTAGTTCCAATAATTAATATGTTAATTTTTCACAGTAATTAAGCTCCAATATTTCTTAAAATAATCAAAAACCTGAGATTAATGAGCAGATTACTATTAATTCATGATTACTGATTATTCACTAAGTAATATTATTGTTGAATGTATTCGACTGTTATTTAGTTATGTGATTCATGGCTTCAACTAATCTCTTAGAAATATTTTGGCTTATGATTTCTTAATTAAAAACGGTTAGTAAATGAAGCGATTTACTATATTGTTACTACACTATCCACATTGTCAATTTTAAGTGACTCCCGAAGTGACCTTGAGATTTTGATATCTTACTTGCACTAGCCAGTCAATGAGCAAATGGATAAGTCGTGATTATGCAAGACAAAAGATGGGGAAATAATGTCAAATGTAGTGGGTTACAAAAGACAAACAAACAAATAAATAAACATTCAGCAATTTCATTCATTACTCTATTTTCATGTAACATAGTGATTTAGTTAAATGAAATAAAATGTCACAGATTGAAATCATGAGTCAGTTGAAGTTAGACCACCATGGAAAACCTGGAAGCACTGGACGGCCGTTTCGTCCTAGTATGGGACTCCTCAGCACTGCGCATCCACGATTCCGCAGCCGCGGGATCCGAACCCAGGACCTACTGGCCTAGCGCGCGGGCACTTAACCATTAGACCACTGAGCCCGCATCCAACAGTGTTAATGTCTAACTTCAACCAATCCACGAAGTTGCGCCACCGTATACCATTGTCTTCAGTGAACTGATATCTCACAACAGACCTGGTTGAACTCCACTGATAACGGCTTCCCACTAGAACTCCAGGAGTATCTCTTGAAGTCAGTCACTAGTGAGCAGATGATTATTATCAGAAGGGGTGTGTGGAGATTTTAGGGATTTCAGTGGTCTAATGGTTAGGTGCTCGCGCGCCAAACCGGTAGGTCCTGGGTTCGAATCCCGCGGGGTGCGGAATCGTGGATGCGCAGTGCTGAGGAGTCCCATACTAGGACGAAACGGCCGTCCAGTGCTTCCAGGTTTTCCATGGTGGTCTAACTTCAACTGACTCATGATTTCAATCTGTGACATTTTATTTCATTTAACTAAATCACTATGTTACATGAAAATAGAGTAATGAATGAAACTGCTGAATGTTTATTTATTTGTTTGTTTGTCTTTTGTAATCCAAATACAGATTCGCATATTGATTGTAAATTATTTTGACTAGATTTTCACAAACTTTAAAGCAAAAAAATATGGTTATACGTGTAAAGCTGAGAAATACAACGTAATAGGTAATTTATATTACTGTTCTCAACAACAAATCAAATTTTAGTTTGTATTCTGTTATTTAATTGGTATTTATCGAGTATGAAAGAGCTTGCTTAGGTTGAACAAATCGTATTTTCACTAGTAGTCACTAGTTTCAAGATGAAACAACTGAATTCCGATTGAGACGCCGCTATATATCGAATCAAGCAAGGTAGAAGCGTAGTAGTTACCTACAGATGACATCGGATGACTATCGTACTACATCACCAATCGTAACAAATTGCTAATGTACAAATATTATCTCCTAATAAAATGTGTGTAACTGATACTATCATGAAACATAAATGTTTCTGATTTGATCGTTTATGTTGTGGCAAGGTTAAAACTAGATCTATTTATGTTGCTTTAGTATCCCAAAGTCGGTAAAAGTTCTCTCCATATGATATCAGTTTATGAGTTAAACGTTCTTAGCACCTATATGAACATTTGAGCGAACAAGTTGATAGAAATTTAATGTTAAGTACATTAAAGACATATATGCATAAATTACATGCTTAGAATTATCGAATATACTTTTTAATTGAGATTACTTCTCTGAAGAAGCTTAGATTGATTTGTCGTTTGAAACGTTGGAATGGATTACAATCGCTGAAAAATCCCCATTATATTAAAACGCAATTATATAAACGAAGAACATTCTTTTCAATAATTTCTCATCAGGTTCTACAATTATAAATCCAAATTAATGATCCATAAAATTGGCCAGGTTTAAGGCAGAGTACATCATTTAATTATTTTTATTTAAACACATAAATAAGGGACACTGAATACATATGTGCCGCACAAGTCACTTGATTTGTGTATAGGCTGTGATACTACCCAGGTGCCCAGACCAAAGCTGGTGATTTTTTTAGGAGTCCACACCTGGAGTCTTTGACATAGAGGTCCGATCCACAAG